CGTGCAGGACGCGGGTAAGCGGCAGCAGGGGGCGGCTGAGGCGGACGCCGGTACCGACCCGCCCGGGCGCGGGGCGGCGGCGGCGGGGCCGGCTGCTCGCTCCGTGCCGCCGCCCGGGGTCAGCAGCTCCGCGCCGGGGGTCTAACGTGGGTGGGAGCTGCGGCTGCCCCGGTTCGCGGGGTTGGGGAGCGGCTGGGCAGCGCCGGGTTGCGGGGCGTCGTCCGTCGTCCCGTGTCTGCGCCCCGGCCCCACAGCGGGAGGGAAGGAGGGATGCCGGGGAGCGGCGGCGGGAGCCCAGGAAGCGATCAGAAGATCAGGAAGATCACGTTGCGCTTCCTCTTCGTGTCAGCAGTGCCGAGCTCGCCGGGCAGCGAGAGGCGGCTGCCGRGCGCCCGCGATGCCGCCCCCGCCGCGGTCAGCCCGGGGCGCAGGTGGCGGCTGCCCCGCTCCGAGCCCGTCCTGGGTGCACCCCGGGCTGCAGCCGGGCCACCCACCGGAACCTGCCCCCATGTGGAAGGGTCTCTCTTGGGCTTCTCCATTCGTGTCGTGCTGGTTCCCTCTTGCGCCCTGCCCAGCGCTGTGCTTGAGTGGGTGCCCTTGTCTTACCTCTCCATTTCTGAGGGGCAGTGCTTTACTTAAAGGCTCGGGCTCGTCCAAGTACCCTTTCACATGTAGAACAGGTTTCATAAATAGCGCATCTATTAGTATCTTTTCCCCTGTTGCAAAACGCTGCTTTGCTTTTTTATTTTAAATGAAATTTCTTGTGATAAATGAGGCAGCCTCAGACTGAGTTTAGCAAGTTAGTTAGGAAAAGGACCTGATCCTAGCCACGACAATGGTGCAGAGGGTTCTGCCACTGAAGTTAGAAGCTAGAAATAAACCTTTTTTTTTTTTTTTTTACAAGAGTGTATCTAGTATGTGGCCCTAGAGTTGAAGCTTTCTGGAGTGCCTTAAACTTTACAGTGGGAACCATGGTGGGAGAGATATTGGTAGTTTAATACATGGGGTTTTTTTGAGGCTTTTGAAACGTGTCCATGACGCAGTTTGAACCCTGTGCTGAGAACCACACGGGCAACCTTTGAACTTTAGTCAGCAGCATTTTCCCAGGTGCAGAGATCACCATGCAACCTTTGAACTTTCAGCAGCATTTTCCCAGGTGCAGAGATCACCATGCACTTTGGGGGCATTTGTAGTTGAAGAGTTCACGGTAGTTTCTTCCCTTGTAATTAAGAGGTATAACAACAGTATGATTGCTGTAAAAACATGATTTGTTAATTTGCTGCTATGTCATCATAACTTGCTAGTTGTGAAAGTGTAGTGCTTTGTTATTGCTACAGAGCTTCTTTCAGCAGGTTTTGTGCTTCTAGAAATAATTGTGTGTCTAGATGGGATTTTTTTTAACAGTAGTAGGGTAGATTTTTTTTAAAGGAATATTTGCTTTGTGAAGTTGTGCATATTTAGTTCTTAACTGTGTATGGTCTTACCTAATTCCCTAAGTTTGACTATGCTTGTCTGAAAGCTCTTTAGTGTTGAAAGGATTGCATGCAAGTTTGTGGGGTAATATACTTGAACACTTACACATCCTATTTCATGTATCTGTACTTTATTTATGCAAGTTAGTTGCAGACCTGCAGATGTGCGGGAAGAGCTATGGTTATAATTTGATAGGCAGCTGAAGTTAGGCCACAACAACAAAAAGCCTAAACCACCACACAGTTGATATTAATGCTGTATGTAGTGTATAGGTGGAAGGTAGGAATAAAGTGTCCCCTAGACTGAAAATACACAAGTAGGTACACTATTGCGTTTCACTCATTCTAGTGGAACATGGAATATATGCACAATGTAGGGCTTGGCTCTTTGATGTTCTAAGATTTCCTTGCCCGTTTGACCTACTAGTCTGCTGATGGGAGGTACTGTTGCCRTGAATGAAGGAACTGCAGAACTGGCCCTATCATGTAAGAACTCCAGGTATTGTGGCAGATAAACTTTTTTTATTTTCAGCACATGATTGCCATGTTGCGTGATGCTTCATGCGGTATTCGTTGCTGCTACCTGTGTTTGAGTTTCTCTTGTGTGGAACTGTAAACAGGGATAGATGTTAATGTAGAAAGGGTTTTATGTGGCTTGTTAGTTATGGCAGAGAATCAAWCCTTGTGTGTCTTTAGTAATGGATATGTAGAATATGTCTAATTTATGGTTTTAATTTTTATTTCTGTATACTTTCAGGAAAATTGTAAAAATTTCAGATGCAGTTACTGCTATTGCTTCTCTGTGGTCTAAAGCTTGTACATTTGTGCTTGTGCATTTGTAAATCTAAAGCATCCACTGAAATGTTTGCAAACACTGGTCTTACACTTTTGAAAGTGAGTTTCATGATGAAAATTCTTAACTGTTATATCAGTGACAATGTAAGAAGGAACAGTGCTGCCAAAATTAAAGGATTAAGGAGGGAAAATCTTCAAGTTCCAGGGAAGTGTTGTTTCATTTTTCTATGTAAAACATACTGTTTACACTAGATAGAAGTTAATGGAACTTTTTTTTCCTATTCGTTCTTCCTTACCCCGTCGTTTGAGTTTGTTGTGTCTCAAAGGCRTGTTGTTTTGTTTTTGTAATTCTATTTGTAATCAATATGGCAGTAATCAGTGTTTTTTGTTGGTTGATGTGTGCTTTCAGAGGACTATGGGAGTATGCTGCTTGCAGAAGCTCTGCTGGAAGAATGTTTGAAGGAAAACTTTGCCAAACTGAAAGACTGCGTTCCACTGTCAGAGAAGAGTGAACCCAAACTAAGTGAAGCTAAACAGTATCTGACCAGTATCTTAAGCAGAGGGAAACTAAGAGTAAGTGGGCTCTATTATCATAATTCCTGCCAACCTTCTTTCTTTTGATTATTAGTTTGATACGGGGTGTGAGTATTGCCTGTTCGTGTCCATGGATGTGCAGTGCTGTACTGTAGATGATACTAAGGGACTGGTAATTTCCCCTTGGCAGGATCTTATGTTGTGAGACTTGCTTTTTCATATGAAAAAAAAATTATGTGCTACAAAGACATACCCTGTTTCTTTTTTTTTTTTAACTGGAAAGAAGCAGGATAAATATTTAGAATTTCTCTTGGGTGGTGGAGTGTCACCATATCCCAGCTGTCAGGTCAGCACAGCTTAGTGACCTCCTGCTGCTCCTGATCTGAAGGAATTGTGCGCAACTGGTTAGCTCCTGATGGGAGAATAGTGTGCCACAAGCTGTCAGGAGCTTAGGGTTGTGTGGTGAGTCCATGATTACAGTCTTGCACTGCTTTCAGTGTCTGTCAGAGAAGTAATGCTTTTATTTTATTTTGTGGTCTGGGTGTGTGGCTGGTAGCTGTTTGTCAGCTCAGTTGCAGAGCTTCAGGAGTGTTTTATTACTTTGCTTTGATGGCTGCTGCTGCATTGGTGTCCTTTGGCACACAGTTGCGTAACTGGGTTTAGAAATAAATGAATTACAACAGTCTGTTCTAGGCTTGTATTACTTTTGGTCCTGAAATTGCCAGGCTAGTTAAGTTGGAAATGTGTGTTGGACTTTTACATGTTAGTTTCCAATAAGCAAGGTCAGCCTGTGTGGAAAATAAACTGGAGGGAGAGTCTGTCCAACCATCCTTTTTAGTTTAGCCCCATTAACAGTGAGAACTATTGAATTCTTCCAGGTTTTTGTGTTTAGTTTGGCTGCATGAATTGCCATTACTGTTTCTTTGCTAGTGGTGACATAGCTACTCATGCAGCGTTGACCCTATGTTGATTGCATGTATTTAAAAAAGTGGGTTTGAAAGCTTAGGAACCTTTTCATGCTTTCCAAAGGGTCTGAACAGATGTGTTTTACCRAGGTTTCTGTTACACGTTTTCAATCCTTAAACAAAACGAATCTTAGAAATAGTAGGTGTGCCTTCTGTTTTTTCACTGTTGCATGGAATTCTTTGACAAACAAAGAAAATTTGGGAGCTTTCTCGCTCTTWATTTAAATATACAGAGGAAAGGGGAGCACTTGTCTAAAAAGTGATGTTCAGTGTCTAGTTTAAAAGCAGGGTTTTTTTCTGTGYGTGTGTGCAGGTAATTTTGATAAAGCCAACCTTTTATGTGCTCTCTGTGGCTGATGAATCGATAGAGCAGGTCAGCTGAGATCAAAGAGGTGGCTTAGAARCTGTGTATTCCAAAACGCAGCTCCACAGTGGTTGCCTGACCTTTGCTGCCTGCTGCTCTCATGAGCTTAGCCTTTGCAGTTTTGTGAGAGGAAAGCGTTCTGAACCTGCTGAATTTGTTGTGGTGTACTTCATTCTTCCTGTCTGCTATTTCAGCCTGTAAACACTTTCTCTCTCCCTGCTCCATTTCAGCCGAAGTATATGAAAGAAGCTATGCTGATCCTAGGAAAGCTTCATTATGTGGAGGGATGCTACAGAGATGCCATCAGCATGTATGCAAAAGCAGGAATTGATGACCTCTCAACCAAAGATGAACCGCTGTACGTGCTGCGTTTGATAACTGAAGCCTTTGTTATTAAAGGTAAAGGACCATGTATGCGTATTTGAAATATGCTGCCTTTAGGTTGAAGCTATTTCTCCACGTGTTGTGGTTGGAGCAGGATTAGGGCAAAGATGTATACTGTGGAAAATCCTACTGGGTATGGTCTATGTAATTTTAGGCTTAAAGGCATTATGGAGTCTTAGTCCATGGTTTTTAAACTTGGCTGGCTGGTAAAGAAGAGCTTGAAATTGGAAATGTTGTGGTAACTCTTGGCTCTAAGTCAGCAATATGCTTGCGCTTCTGTGTCCATTTTTGGAAAATCTAAATCAAGCACTTGGCTGAATTGGGACCTATGCTTTCTCTTAGAAAGAGTTCATCTATTTGTACATTTCTGTGATTTCTGTGAGTTAAGCAAGGACRGTGTCTCCAAGTTTTAAACTCTGGACTAACAGAATATGTGCTTCCAAAGCAGGTAGTATATTTTTGCAATGCATGTCACACAGTATCAGACCTTACGTACAAACAGGAATCTCTCCTCCCACTTGTAACTCTACAGACATTGTACTGTKCGAGAGATTCTGATAAAAATTCCCTCTGTGGGTAGTGAAATTGCATTTCTTTTTGAATGGGGGAAAGGAAGACCCTTGTCAGTTCTTGACTTGGGGGGAGAAAAAGTTCAGTAACCTTCTCCTTCATTTGCTTTCGGTTCCTTTATAAATGTTGCTCAAGTACTGCTACCTATCTACTGCTTTCTACTCTTTTCAGCATGTCCACCAGCTAATTAGGTGAATGAGAACTCTGATGATCAGATACCTTCAACTGGTATGTAAAAGAGTGAAACCAAATCAACCCAAAATACTGTTTGACTGGGCTGCTAGTATTACTGATAATAATTTGAGTCATTCTGCTTTTTTGAAATCCTGTTTGTGCTGCCTTGCTTGCTTTGATTTTTGTTTTCTATGGTACTGATTGAATCTGCTTCATTAATGAGCTTTTGTGGAGCAGGACTAATTTACTTGTAGCTCACGCTGACATTTGCATGGCGCAGAAGAGCGAGTAGCTGCCAGTGCATTCTCAGCAGTTGCATTTGAGAGCAGCTCCCGGTGCACTCCAGATTCTGAAGGAGATGCACTGTCCTCATCGGAAACTGGAGATGTCCCTTGGTGAGGTGTGAGTGTAATGATAACGTGTGTATGGAAACTGATGGAATAACGCTGTTGTTGTAAGACCCCTTGTACTGTGTTGACTACCTAACTTACACATCAAGATGTTGGAGGTGTTTGCCTCAGACCATCTGGCAATTTTTTTGGTTTCTTTCTCCGTGTGGTTTAGCATGAAATGTAAATATTGTGTTGCCCCAGTAAACTGTATGGAGCCCTTGCCATTGCAGAGAAACCACTGTGCTATTATGGTTCCGCAGTCTTTTTCCTCCATGATGATTATTTTCAGGTTAGCTACAATACCAAGGTTATATATAGTAAGTTACTCAGTATTCTACCAAAGTTGCTGGCAAGAAAAAGTCCAGCAGAATGGAACGTGTCCAGCATAGTTTGGAGAGGGCATTCACTGCTAGGATCACTGTTCTCTTATGCCACATGCTCAACCTCCCACTCTTATGTTAGAACTTTGTGCGGGTAGCTATGGCAATAGCAGTGTAGATTTAAATTTTCATTTTAAAACATGTCTGTCCAGGCTGCTTCTGCAGGGCAATTAACAATATGGAGTTGAATTACTTAAAATTCATTTCTACTTTATTATGCTATAGATTTTTCTTACTCTCCTTTTTAATTTGGTATCTCTGCAGAAATTATGTTGATCCATGCTATATTACTGCCTTTGGTTGAACTGCTGGTTGTTTATGGAATCTGAAAACTTCTTTAAAGATGCTCTAGAATGTTGTTGGTAGTAAAAGTTTGGCAGGGGTCATTCAGGCAAATATCCAGAAGAGCCACAGTCTTGCCTGTTTCAAGGAAGAAGTTAGGTTCCCCACTTCTTACTCACATTTTCAGGAATAGGAGAAAGCAGTTGGTRTAATAGAATATCCTTGTTTATTCAGCAAAGGTTAAAACAGCAGAACTTTGTATCACCTCACAGTGTGAACTACCTCGGTTCTGTGTAGTAGACACTGCCGAGTTACACCTGTATGCAGAATGACAGCATAGGGTAGCACTCAGGATTAGGCAGGAAAGGTCATGAAAGAAAGAAATGTCAAATCAAAGGCTTATTTTTATGTTTCTTATGCAAGAARCTCTCTGTGTTGCATAAAACAGTATTGCGTAAGCAAACTTTGCTTCTAAATCAATTGGGAAACATTGCGGCTTTGCTGCCTGGTGTTGTCCATTTGAAATAAGCAAGCAGAAAAGACTTCAGAACAAAACGTGTAGCTGTCAGAGCCCATTGGTTTCCCTGTGTTTGTGCTTGCTGCCAAAACTCTGCAGAGCTCTCTCTCTTTGCAAGGAGTAAATCTTCCTGGTAGTAGGTAGGGTCACTGCCTAACTCTTGGAAAGCACTTAAAAAACTCTTAGCTCTAGCCAGGGCTTCAGCATACCTAAAATCCAGGAAAGAGGCTCTGAAGTGGCAATGTTTGCTGTGCTGCTGAGAGCATGACAAGAGCTGCTTTAACTTACCTGGGCTGTTGCCTGCCTGAGTGATGGAGGCTCAGGCAGGGCTCATGTGACATATGGGTCTAGGGATGTGTCAGAGYTGCTGCAAGGTGAGTCATGCCTGTGCTGAGAAGCTCTCTGTGTCTGTCAGGCCAGGCACTGGATTTCTTCTACCTGGAGTGGGGTGGCCTGGATTAGCTACCTGTCTAAATCTGTGAATAATGACGCAGGATTGCACATGGTATCTGGTTTCCAAATGGGTTTCTAGAGACTTAAGGCTTTAAAAGTCCCACTGCCTATTTCTCTCCTTTTCTCCCAGTCCATCATGTAGTAAATTTTATGTTATTATTGGCCATTTGGCAGCTCAGGGTGGGTTTAATGTGTGCAACTTCAGTCTGAACTCTCTGTAGGCCAGAAGTTGGCTGTTCTGGGGTGGTTCATCACCTCTTCAAATGGTGTCTGACAGTTGAAGTGAATGGTATTGTACAATAAAGCCTCTTTTCTGGTGACTGTGAGAAGAGACTGTGGACTAAATTGAAATTTATCCGTTGTAATTTTGTTTTTAAATGATTTTGTTCTTTTGCTTGGTTTTTGGTTGTTTTTTTGTTTTGTTTTTTTTTTAACTTTAGAAAAGACATCCATTTTATCAAAAGGCTTCAATGTGATGTTGGTCTTTTTAGATCTTTGAAAAGATGTGGAAGAGAACTAGGTGATAATGTATTTGTAAGAAGCGTTGATCATAGTCTGGATTTTATTATAACAAATCCAACCACAAGTCATATCTATGAGGAAATGAGACTGTGTTGCAGCAATGGCTGTGAGCTATCTATATTTTGTTCTTGAATCCATTTTAATAATTTAAAGATGTTTAAGATCTATGGTGTGACACTTCTGAAAAACCAAAACTAAGATATTGAGACAAACGCTGCTGGATTGAGCCACTGTTCATTAAAGCTCTCCTAAGAACTGTGTTATTTCTGAAATCAAATCCTTGAATCTACCACAAGTTTTTTTTTTTTCCTGAGCTTAATAATGATAAACAGTCTGGAACCTGCTTCCAGTGTTCTGGGTTCAACCCAGCTTGTTGTGGATTATTTTTTATTTGTTTGGTTTTAGGACAAATTGCTGAGTTTATGTGTGTTCCTGTTTCTCTTGTGGTTGTATCTTTTAAAAATTCAGTGGTAATGAGGTCATTGTGCTTGGCATTATATTGTTCTGCTTTCTCCCCATGTGAAATCACTGTCTTGGGCTTCTAATACTGGAAGTGGTTGTTTGGAGTTTCTGGTGGTGTTTTGAAAAGAAAATGGTGRTATCACTCAGAGATAAACAGAAAACTTGACCTTTTGCTCAGCTGGTTTGGAAACTATTTGCTTGGTTTTAATCAAGGTTTTAAATTGACCAAGTGAAGCCTCAAAATTGGAATAAGGTGTTTGAGACTTCTGGTGATTGTGTTGCTTAATTAGTTTCTTATTTTGTTGGCTTTCTCTACTGTTAAAAACAGTAGGTTTGCATTCAGTAAATATAAATTTGGTGTTGAAGTTGTTCATTCTGGTTAATCAGAGGATGTATCATGCACTTGTTCATATACTTAATTGAAGTCTTTAATTTTGACATTTGCTTGTGTGTCACTCATTTTTCTAATACGGCTTTCTACATGATGATTAATTTCCTGGATGAGATTTGTGTTCAGCTGCTTTTGTTTGGAAGTTAGAATAAAATGTAGAGTTAAATATAGTTTTATTGCAAAACTATGTTCTGATAAATCTACTCTTCCCTCCTTTAAAGAATTTTATTTCAAATTTTCAATTTAATACATTAATTTCTTTAACTCAGTGTTTCTGATAAAATGATAAATTTCTTGTTATGTGTACATTTTTTTTTTAGTTCATAGATTGAAATGGAAAAAATAAGATTTCCTGTTTGATTTTATTTAGTTCATTATTGGTTCRTTGAACTAAATTAGTGGAGAGAATTGAAAGGGAGGAAGGTAGGTGGGTTTCTTTAAATTTTAATTTTTTAATTTTTTGTCGTCTTTGCAAGAGAGCACGTCTGTTTTAAAGACTATTCCAGTGCTTCATCAAACTCTTGCTTCAGATCTGAAGCTACTAACTTTCCTAGTTCAGTTCTYTACTAAATGCTCCCAATCCCATAGTGCAAGGATACATTCCACTCAAATAACATTAATGAGTTATTGTGTGCTATTGGCTTAAGTTAAGCAGCCTTACTTTTAATTAGAGTTTCCCATTAACTTCTCTGGAATGAGATTTTTGTCCACTTAGTGTTTGGTAAGTGAGACAAGGTAGTATCAAAAAGTARTATTAAACCTTCAGAGTGTTCTAGAATACTGACTGTATGGAACGATTTTGAGTGCTAGTAGTTTGAACAATTTCAAGTGCAGATCAAGTAAGTTTAGAAACATTATATAGTGTTGCAGGG